TTGATAAGTCGGATCTCTTGATAAGTCGGACACCATGTCCAGCCATTTGTGTCCGACTTATCGAGTTTACCTATGTACAAATAACTTCATCTTCGAATTTAAAACCATGAAAGAAGAATTCAAAAATTTAATACTTATAGATAAAGATTCTCCATCTCCACAATTCATTTATAAATATTATAAGCTAGAATGATGGATTATGAATTTATTCTTTAAACGTACAAGAATTCCGTGCTAATCAGCACGGGATTTTTAAAAAAGCGGTAGACCTCTACTAGACAAAAAATTACTAATTGACCACCTGTTTTTTCGATAGGCAAAGAAAGATATGGAGTTTTCACACAAATATTCGATCTTGATTTTTTTTTTTTTAGATGTTTTATTGGTACCAAAGTAAGCGTATTTTTAAAATTCCAAAAATTTTTTTTTTTTTGGACCCATGCCTAAATCCGCAATAAATATATGAAATTCATTTAAACCGAGATTTAAAAAAATGAATTTCTGTGTTTAAAATAAAGTTTTTCAAGGTTTTACACGTGTTATCCCTAATAAATTTTTTTAAGCAAAGCGGTGCACATTTAATAACATTTTCTAAATAAGAAAGGTGAAAAATGTCGCAATTCCCCAAATTACCGTGCAATAACTACAATATCCGTGTAATATTAATATGCTTGTGCGCTCTATTCGGAGTTTAGTCATATTTACAATATTACCATCATCGTCTTCTCCACTAACAAATATCTTTTTTTATTTCCGACTCGAATATATCATTATTTTTATTTTCAGGAACGCGGATATCAAAGGATACTTTAATACCAGTTATTGTTACAACTGCTTTCTGGCCATTAATGAGAAAGCCATATAGACGTAAAACGTAATGAGTGAAAGAGTTTTTGAATACCCGTCTTAGTTGTCCTAGTTGTCCTAGTAAAATTCAGAATTTCTTACTTTTTTATTTATTTTTTATATTTTTTTTTTTTGGATATACATATTAATATACGTGTATATACACATATACCATAGAAAGGGTTTGCATTTTTTTTCCTAGAATTTTAATTTTTACTAGGACAACTAGGACGGATTTTTATAAAGTATAAAAGAACAAGATAAATCAAGGAAAAAACTCTTCCTCCTAGTCGGAACTAGGACGGAATTCCTTCCGTTTTTATATCAATTTTTGGGCTTACTTGGTAGTAAAAAAGATAACGCGTTTTAACGAGAGAAGTTAAAGAATATGTTCCTGATGAACAAATAACCAAGGTATAAAGTTTAGTCTTCTGCGTAAATATATATATATATAATGGCAGAAGACTACATCTATACTTTGATGTCTGTGGGCCTGAATTTTATTATTGGACATTTACAAAGAAGGTATTAACCAACTACTTGCCAGAAAAAAAAATATAATAATGTTTCCATGAAAAAAAATATATAATAGTTACACGTAAGAAGCAACCGACTCTAGTGAGTATCGAGTCCTTTAAATAATTAAACTTGAAATTTGATGCTGTTATTGCTGAATTTAAAAAGGAAAAGGAAGCACTCATTGATATTAATTCCAAACTTCATACTAGGATTGAAGAGTTAGAACACGAAAAGAAAAGGATTGATGCTAGAATTTGGGACCTAGTGACGGAAGTTAGTGAGCTAGAAATTACCACTAGGGCTTTAGATGATCAATATGAAGAGAACAATGCTAGAATTGTGAAATTAGAACAGACTCAAAAATCGTACAATTAATTTCTTTAGTAATAACCTGGATTACTAAGTGCGGGAAAAATTCAAATCAAAAATTATTACATAAAAGTATGATCCAATTTTTTGATTCGGGACCTAAAAATAAAGAGTTTGATGCTAGATATAAGCGAAATTAGAACAGACTCAAAAAAGACGAAAATGCTGAGTTTACTAAGATTAAGGACGAAAACGATGATCTTAAAAAAGTAATTACTGAGTTTGAGATTAAAAAACAAGCTAAATGCATTCAAATTAGTAAGGAGCTTCTTGATGAGGATCCAATAGTTGTTTTCCTGAATGGATTGAAGTTAGATGCCTCTGGCAGGAGATATACTACACTCAACTAACCATTCATCTTAGGTAAGAAGGATTTTTTTTGTTTTCTCCTACAATAAATGTAGAAAAATTCAAATCAAAAATTTCGTGTTATCACTAATGCTCCACTATAATGGTCTCAAAAATGACGACAAATTCATAAACCAATCGTAGCCCAAATCGGGACCCAAAGCGGGAATCAAAGCGGGAATCAAAGTCGACGCAGTGGTTTAAAAATATGGGAAAAAACAAAAAAGCTGGACAAGTGCTTAAAATTACGAATCAAACTCAAATCAACCATAACCAAATGGGCCTGTTGAGAGGCTTAACCTACAACTTAACCCATGACTCAACCTACAAAAAGTACGACGCAAATGCAAACTCGCCGTACTTTGAAATCTAAACCAAGTGATTACAACCTAGACTAAGTGGTTATAACATAATTATGTTATAACCACTAAGGTCAGTATGTTTTGCTGTTCCTTGATAATTGTACAAGCCATAAAATAGATGGTTTAACTCTTTCACATGTTGATGTTTATTTTTTGGCCTTCAAATACTACTTCAAAACTTCAATCAATGGATGCTGGAATAATCATGTTTATTCAAAAGGCATTACACACGTCATCATATTAAGTATGTATTTTTTTTTTGTCATATTGTATTAACTTTCAAGTATTTATATGATCTTTTTTTTAAAGATGGATGCTAGATGAAATTAAAGAAGGTAAAAGAATTGAAGATTTAAAAACGAATGTATTGCAGGCAATAAGATTCATAATAAAAAGTTGGAAAGAAATCACACCTGAAACTCTTCATAACTGTTGGTGACACACAAACATTCTTCCAGCGAGTGTTAATACAGTATTATCCAATATATCTGATAATACTAGAACAACAAATGATTCAGTATTAAATGATCTTTCAGAAGCACTTACTGCTTAATCTATCTGATAAAATGCAAGCTGAAGAATATTCAAAAAGAAAATATTGTTTATGAGGTTCCAGAAGATGACAAAATTATTGAAGAACTTGCAGAAATATATTAATTCAGAAGATGATTTAATTTTACCAAATCCAGATGATTTAAACAATGCAATCTTAATTCATTCAAAATCAATAGTTAATTATGAAAGTTATGGAAATAATGATGTTTTGCATATTTTGTACTGTGATATTGTTGGAAAGAGTTGGATATAAAAAAAGAATGGATGTATCTGTTAAAAATTTTGATGAGGATGATGATGATAGCAATGAACAGCCAATAATCAAATCCAAGGAAGCATCAAAAAGTCTTGAAACTGTATGCACATTTTCATTACAGCCAGTAAACAATTAAAATTGGTTAATAAAATTGGAAAATATATCAATGTAAAGAAAGAAAGTTCATCAGAACAAACTAAGATAGATAATTACTTTATTTAATATTAAAATAAATAAATTTTTTTTTCCTATAATAATAGTATTAAGTATTAATTGATTGGGGTATTCGATATAAGTTGATTAACAAATCTAATTAATGTCATAATGTAAATACATATATGCGGATTTTTTTATG